TGCAAAGGGGTCCTTAGGAGATTTCAGCTTCATCATAAAATCATGGTCCAGCAGAAGAGTCACCAAATAACTCCAACAGACCCAAGGGAGTTGCAACCACCAGCTGAAGGCAGAGGAGGCCTTGCAAGGCAGTCCCCTAACTGCCCATTGCTTGTCCTTTCTCCTCTGCAGTTCCCACTGTGACCTACATTCCTTGGATGCACATCTCCTGATTTGCATATTAATCTGAGTAAAATGGCAACAAGGCAGTTTTTGCTCTTTCCAGTGATTTGTGCTAATGTGGGACCCCCCAAATTAGGAGGTTGTTAACAGGGACTCAGCCACCACGTAGCATGGGCACCAACAGCACAGAGCTTGTTTGCTGCAGGGGCAGAGCAGGACAACACAGATCAAAAGCTCTGCATCCTAATGAGGAACATTCCTTTTCTATTCCAGTTCCAAGATTTGTTTCACTGATTTATATGACAAAGCAAACCATTAAGCACCTCTAACCCTTTAACTTTGGGTGCAACCCTGAACCATCACCAACTGCTGGTTGTTGAATGATGGTGGCTCCTCTCCAGCAGTCTGTCCATGCACCTCTCCTCTCTGATAGAGACCTTTTGCCCAGGGAGGATCACTCAGACCTCTTTGCCACCTACCACCACCTCCTGCTTCCTGCTGTGACACTGACCTTGTGCTCAGGACTGAGCAAACAGGGATGTTGGAGCCACCAGCCATTCCATCAGGAGCTGTCATATGGCAGGGATCTCAGGAGGGATTGTTTCACAAGTGGTTCCTCCTTGAGGTTTGGGATGTTCCTGTTCTTCCATCATGGGCTGAAGACCATTAGGAAGCCATTTGCCTTTTCAGAAGGGTCTCATTCCCTGAATCAAGATTATCAGTTCAGCCCATATTTTCTCTCCATGGATCTATGAGATGACTCAGCTTCAAGGCTCATGTGGCATTTCAGTCTCTCTCCCAACCTTTGATGCCTCTCTGTGCTGCTTCTAGAAGTGCATTTTGTGAAACCCAGAGCTTGCATGATTCCTACAGCCTGATTATTCTTTAATGTACGTGGGCTCCCTTCAGGCACAGATTAGCTTTGCAGGCTGCTCCAAGTTTATTTTTAAAATTTTATTCAGATGGTTGCCATGAATTCCCAAAGCAGAGAGAACATCCTTCTACTTCCTAAACACAGCTCCCTCAAGCACCAAAGTGATCTGCAGCAGCCCCTGCCCCCCCTGCTCCTCCATTCACTGCACATGCAGAAGCCCCACAGCACAACACCCCAGTGAAGGAAACCAGCTCTGGTTAAAAAAAACTCACCACCTAAAATCCTTCAGCTCAGTGCCTGAGGGGCTGAAACAGCAGCTCCTGACGCAGCAGCGACTCCCACACGTTGGAGTGGGTGTTAAGTCAAGTTCTAAATGAGCTGCTACTTCTGAAATCCCAGCAGCTGCTGCCAAGACACTGCCAGACAGGCAGGATGCCCCATCTGCTCCTCAGCCACTGGCTCTGTCCCACACCTCATCTCATCTCCCTGGCTCCAGGCACTGAAAGGTGTCTTTTTTTTTCCTCTGAAATCAGGCCCATCTGCTTTTGCTCAGCAGAACAGAAGCTACTGCAGCTTCTTCCCCCACACTGCATGTGCCTGGATGGCCAACGGAGTTGGAGATGGTTCCTGGAATCCCATCAGCCTCCCTGCAGCCACAGGGGAGATCCAGGCTCTCTCATTTGGCCCATTCCACCTTCTTCCTCCTCCTCAGCACTATCCCTTTTGCATCCTCCTGGATGTAGCTGTAGTTTGGCCCCTGGTAACAAATCAGTAACAAACGATCAGCATGAAAATGAGAACCCAGACCTGCTGGTGCACTGGGAAGGGGGTGTCTGTGCCAGCCAAGAGGCATCCCTCATCCCTGTGCCCACCTTCCACTTTGCCTGGAATTCAGTTCTAACAAAGTAACAAGGAACACAGACATGTGACTTTTTGGAAAACAGAGGAAAAGTTCTTTGCAACTGTTGCTGCTTGAAGCACACCTGGGCAGGAGCAGCAATCAGCCTCCCCAGGACAAAAAAGACCAAAGAAATAAGAGAAATTAACAGGGCAGACCCATTCTTTCCCTTAAAGGCAAGGATTAGCTTCAATTATCAAACATCATTTTCCAACCAAGTGGATTTTCCTCAGTTGGGAGTAATAAGAATAGAGAGGACTTACAAATCAGACTCCTCAAAGAACACAAGCAGCTCATTTACAGGGCTCACAGTTCTTAAATTCTCCATTGGTTCTGTTGGCATCACTGCTGTTATTTTTTAAGAGCACTTTAAAAAGGCAGCTTTCAGGTTTACGTGTTACAAGCTTGTATTTATGGCCTTTTGAGAAACACTGGGCTTTTCCCTCCCCCACACGGAGGCAATAACCACAGTGCACAGAGCAGGTTGGTCACTGCTCTCCCAGAACTACCTTTGCCCAGGGAAACTGTTTCCAGCATCGTGCACGACCTGCAGTGCTCAGATCATGGGAGCAACAAACACGTTGATCATTCCCAACACTGCTCCTCACTACAGACCATCCCCTTCCACACCCTGTTCCAGATACACTCACCGACTGTTGGTAAACATCATAAAACTGGCTCCTGAGGCCAAGTCCTGGTAACCTCACCCAGGGAACGTCACACTGTGGAGCTGCTTCTCTGGAAACATGAGCAGGGCTGCGGAGAGCGAGCACCTCTACATCAATATGCAAACTCAGAACAAAACAATGCTGCTTTGTTGGAGCCTGGACAGCACCTGGTGATACACCCGTTCATTCTGAAGGCAAACACAGCAGCTGGCAACCCAGGGTCTGGCAGGCTGTTTGTGCTTTATTGCCCTGTGGGGTAGTTCCCAGCCAACTTCTGGCTTTGCCCAGGGGCGAGTGTGTCCTTTTGGTGCCCTCCTGCAGCAGGCAGGGCTGTGGGCAAGTCATCCTTAACCAGCAGGGCTCAGGCAGGGCACACTCAGTGGTCTCCTTTTCCTACTCTGCCATTCCTCGATCAGTTTATTCATGTTGCCCAGGGGGTAAACTCAGATCCAGAGTGCCACTGGAGGAAAAAAAAAACCTCAAAATTGCCATGTTAAACCCACGTTGACTCCCCACGCCGGGTGGCTGTGTGCTCACTGACAGCTCACACCCTCCCACAGGAGATGCCTGGGGAACAGGACACCCCCACCTCCTCTCAGGGGAGATGGTACTCCCTGCAGTCAGGACACACACCAGCAGTAGCACCTTTCCTCCTGGAGCCTACCAGCATGAACAACGAAAATCTGCTTTGCCTGGGTAAGAAACCTGCCTTAGATTAGTAGCTGCCTTTTCTTGGTCTAGGTATGTAGCTCAGATGGAATATTCCTCTCACTGAATACTTAGAGGAAAAAAACCCACACTCACGTTTTAAATACAGCCACATCACTGCTTTGACTCAGCACACAACATTAGTTTAAAAGATTTTTGTCAAGGGATTTTATATAAAGCCTCACTGAAATGGAATCATCTCCTCCACTTGTCCCACCTACCTCAGCTGAGCATCCCCCCAGGCTCAGCCCTTCTTGTGCCCACTGGCAACTGAAACTCCCTAAAAAACAAACCCTGCAGGTGCTGCTTGAACCACAAACACTTGGAAAAACCTTGTGAGGGCTTTGCAAATGACTCCAGGAATAAGCTCAGGGGTCAGTGTTCCTAAAAGCGTTCATTTAAGGCTTCCTCACGGATTGTCTGTTTCTGCCAGGTTGTGCCAACACAGACCACCCTTTTTTCTGCCCTCCTAAAAGTCCCTACCCAACAGCTTCCCAGGATTATACAGAGCCAGGACAGACTCATGGGTGGCAACTGCCAAGAGAGGAAATAATTGTTTTATTCCATTATAGTGTATTTTTACTGTGTCATACATATGAACAGTAGAAACGAGTGCAGGAGTTTCACTGGAATGGTCCCTAACACTTTCTAAGGCTTCGTGCAACCTCCAGTTGGAATCTGAACACCCACACCATTTTTCACTTCAAACACTCAGCCCACCCACTAGAGGAAAATATTTGGATCATTCTTTTACTGAGATCACGTCAATCTGGAAGCAGATGGACAGACAAGGAGGAGGAATACACGCCAAGTTACCAGGAGCAATGCATCCCACCAGTGGGTTCCAGCTGCAGCCTGCAGGACACCAGCAGCTGGCCTGTCCCCAGGGCAAGGCATGTCCAGAGCGTGCCTAGAGCATCCCAGAGCATCTCAGCACTTGTCAGGACCATGGCACAAACAGGTTTGCAG